AGGCTACATCCTGTTACAATTTAACCAGCGCCGAAAAAATCGAAGAATAGTCAAAGATATTCACGGATACCTTTGTGGTATTAGGCAATCATATGCAAATTGATTTGCAAATGTTCTTTTTGAAGTTCAAAAAATACCTGATTAAATCCGTTAGGCAACAATAGAGCGATTAATTTGCTTCTTCAATTCCAGCAAAGAATGCAAATGTCCATTGCAGTCGGTTATTCATATGTGAAGATGTTTTCTTTTTCAACCGTTATTTTGATTTCGCATTATTTTATCAAAAATCTGAGGCACTATTTCCCAATTAAATCACATTTTCAGTCGTTTTATTCTCAAAGTTCGTCCTTTCCATGCGGAAATGCCCACTGATAATTTACGATTGCCGAGACCATTTCCTTCCTGATCGCTCTCTTGTTAATTTTTCTGGCCCGGATAATCGCCGAAGGCGACAAGCCTTTGAGACCCTTCGGGCATCAGAAGCTTTTCGCTTTTAATTGGAATATTACATAATCGAGTGTGGAATTCGACTACAGGAATTTAAGGTTTTATTGTTTGTTAACCACCAGAAAACACACGCAAACAGTTATTTTGCTATGTTGCTTCAAATTGTTAATAATCGGCTTAAATTAACCGCTGACATGTTTGCCAATTAAGAAGTTATTAACAAAAATATCGTGTATCGACATTTAATCTATACGGATTTTGTCTAGATATACGAGCAAAGGCTACCGGATCTAGCAAATTAGATCAGACCTATCGGATTATTAGTCATGCCAATTAACACCGAGCGCAATTTTCTGTTTCAGAATACTCGTGGGACGCAAATCGATAATTAATGGGGCAAAAAGTATGGGAATATTAAGTAGTTTTTGGATGAGCCCGAATAATTAGCCAGTCTTGTGTCTTCAAGCGAAGAATTTTGATGAATGAGCCATTTATCCAAGGTGTCTCTAACAAAGTCCACTCGCGGCTCAGATTCCGGGGCATCCATCAAGGAAAATATAAAAAAAATACTGAAAAACCATCCGCTCTTGTTGATAGAAGTAACCGAACAGCCCGTGAGGTCATCGAGGGATTGGTACCGCAAAAAATCGATAAATAGAATGGGACCTTCACATTTTCGATAAGGATGTTCCAGTTCCTTTTACGGAATATTTCACATCCTTTTAGCGGCATTTGTCACATCTATCAGTGTTAATCATCTTTGGCTCAGTGCAAGCGACAAGTTGAAGCGATTTTCCTCGGCGGATTTACGCCATAAATAAACGAATCTTATGAGCTCATACACATACGTACTATGTAACATTTGCAATTATAACAAGGATTCCGGTTGTGACCCCATAAAAGGACAAATATCCGTAGGAGGCGCTTATTGAGCCTTTCTCGTTCTGTAGGCGCCTTGCCTTAATCAGATTGAAAAAAACTGCAAGACCTTGGTTTTCATATTTCTTTAAAAACACTGCAAAACGATGGGAAATGAAAGTCAAACTACCCACTAAACGATCATATGCGGAGGTTTCTTGCGAACAATTTTAATGTTTTTTGAAAAAAATTGCACTCACCGTGTTTTGCATATCCCACATGCCAGACAAGCGGCTTGGATGGAAGGTGATGTTGGTGGAAGCGCCCAAAAAGGCCGTTTCCAGTATGAACAGCTCCGCATGTTTGCTCAGCGCCTTAAAGTCGAAATACTTAGCGACCAGTTCAGGTTTCGATGGCACGGACAAAGCGATGTCCAAGTCGGAACCCAACTTGGTCTTGATCGTCGAAATAAAGTCGCTGATGTCGTTTTTCGAAGTGAGTTTCTTCAGGTTCAGTTCCAAACCGTCCACTTTTGTCGATTTGAGCAAATCAATCAACCCCTGCAACAAACAAGGAGTTGAACGGGTTTTTCCTGCAAAGTTCTTGTAATTGAGTTGCACAGTTTCAGAACCAGTTTAACGGTCTTTCCACGTAATGATGAAGAAACGCTCTTTGCGATCTCAATTATAATCCTTTTGTGAAAATGGCAATACAAATTCCTAGCAAGGCTGTTAACTGTTGGGGCACAGATTAACATTTTCCAATGATTTAATGCCAGCTCCTTTTACGGGCAATTGATTTGGCGCTTTTACAACAATTAATCCATGCGCTGTTTTTTGCTTTTCTGCGTTGATGACTTTATGCGATATCATTATTCTGAAATAATTGCTAATTACCTGAATAGCGGCCGGTCCAAAAACAAGGCAAAATGATATAATCAACTAACTGATACCATCAATACGAACAAGAGAAGGTATTAGAAAGTGGGCAGCCACACCCAGATGAATTTGAAAAATTCCAGCAAATTGTAATAATTCATTATTCGGTTGTAATTCCTCAATAAAACTGCAATTGTGCCACTATGCAGATTGATGATAAGATTTAATCGGGAAATCAGGCGCATTTCATGGATAATTGCGGACTAATCTTTGGGCCACTCAATGTTTGGTAATCAGGCGTACTGGTAGA